CAGGTCAGAAGCCTCAATGTTGAGTGTTTTTCTGGGATTTTGGAAATAATTGTCTGCTTTTTTTAATAAGAGGATGATGTGTTCTCAGACAACTGCAAGTGCACACTTGTAACTCAAACATCTCTTAAATCAGTAAATTTATATTGACTGCTTCTCATCGCAACAGTGCTTAAGAACAGGGAGGCAATTTGCGATGGGCTGGGGGCAGGGCCTAGGAGGAAAGAAGCAAAAGGACATGGCTTCTGTATTCTTGTGTCTCAATCCTTCCACAATCCTGTATTGGCAACAGGATAAAAAGGGGGGCAGCTGCCATAATATCTTAGTTTGTGCTGAGTGCCAAACTGGCCCTGGCAGTCCTTGCCTAGTGAAAGCAAATCCATCAGTGCAGGGATGAAACTGTCTCAGCCTCACTAAGGGCTTAGAGCCAGCTTCAGAACAAACAATCGCCTATCTTTTTGCCAGTAATGTTGTTTAGGCCTCTGGCAGACATTACGCTTAAGACATGATTAACCAGTTGCATGTTTAACTGTGCCATTAATTGCATAAACAGGAAACCAGTTGCAAAGTTTTTACACAAAATATTTGTGTAGTAACTTGTGCAGTAACAAAATATTACACCAAATATCTGTGTTATTAACTTATGTAATAACATATTTTGTGTAATAATTTTGTGGCTGGTTCCCATTGCACCTTAAATTAAATGTGTGGCCAGGCTGATCAGCTGATTAGTGCTCCCAGCCTCAGGGGCACATCAAAGTCAAGAGCTCTGATGTGTTCTCAGTCTGGGAGCTCTGATCCGTTGACTGACTTTCTACAGATGTTGCTGGGCTCTCCCTGCACCAGCAATGTGAGGAGCTTTAGATTTGATCCCCAATGCCACGATGGCACTGCCTGTCATGCACGTGTAGCACAGCACTTGGTGTGATTGTTGGGATCATGTCATGAAGTGAATGTCTGCCAGGGGCCTAACTCCCAACTAAGCATGTTTGGATGCACAAGCTAGGCGTCCACACATCTATGTCTATTGAGGGACCTCATTTTATATATTTGTTCTAACCAACTTTTGTGCATCCTGACAGAAGTTAATTCAGCACAGAGCACAGCCGCCAAAGCTACTTCCATTCAAAAACACTGTTGGAAGAGGTGGCATTGGTATCCGTCACCATTATTTTTGTAATCAGTTGTTGGTTAGGGGAGTTGTCCAGGAAGTGGGATGCTTGGGTTCCAGGCCCTCTTCAACCTGTGGAGATTCAAACTAACATCTCCTATCCTGCGGGGGACTGCTAGCCTGAGTGGAGGCCTCTTCCGCCGTTCTGTGGAGTTGCGCTTTAGATTGGGCCCCTAATCCTGCAAGGCACTCTGAGCTCTGGTTCAATCCATTGTGGCACTTAAGCACATGCTTAACATCAAGCAAAAAAGTAACCACATTGCTTTCAATTGGATTGGAAATCATTGGAACTATGCTATACTATACTGTATAAACTATTAGGGCTGTGCAAATCTTCAGGTGGTGATTTGGTTGGGAGGAGATTTGGCCCAATTCAGTGGCTGAATCTCCAAATTCAAATCAAATCAGGGGACCGATTTAAAGGTCCAAATCAATTCAAAGCTCTCCAAAACTTCAGAAAAGATTTGGAGAGCTTTGATGATTTGGGCGGTCCCCAGTGGCTGCAGCAGGGAACTGCAGCCAACGAGTTGGGAAGTACTAGGGGAGGGTACTGTGGTGGGGACCCCTGCCAGCTCCCCCCCCATCCCTGCCCGCTCCCCCGGCCCCTCTTCTGGCAGCCCCACCCACCCGAGCTCCTCGGCCCCCCTTACTCCCTCACCCTCCCCATAGGTGCCCTGCCTGGGCCAGCTCTGGCCCTTTAAGAAAAAAAAACCCAGAAAAAAGCCCCAGGACTTGCCACTCCTGCAGCAGCCTTGGGTCTTTGGGGGGCTCGTACAGAGCGGGGCAGTGGGGATCACCCCCCCCCCCGCCAGCAGGAACAGTGAGCATGGGGCTTTCCTTGTTTTTTTTTCTTTTCTTAAAGGGCCGGAGCTGGCCTGGGAGGGGCACCCATGCAGGGGCTGGGGAAGCAAGAGGGGGGTTGGGTTGGGCTCGTGCAGAGCCCCTTATGCAGTGGGGGGCAGCAGGGATCGTCCCCCCTGCCTGGCAGCACCCGTTGAGCCATGGCTTCTTTTTTCTAAAGTGCTGGGAGCAGGGGTGGGCAGGGCAGCCATTGCCGGGGCTGGGAGAGTGGGCGGGGGATGGGCCTGGCTGACTCAGAGATTCAGCAGCAGCCGAATCTCTGAATCAGGTTCAGCCGAATCGATTCAGGACAGTGATTCAAATCAACAAATCGAATCGCTATCGGCTGAATCCAAATCCAAAGCAAATACTACCTGTTTCGCACAGGCCTATAAACCACGCACTTGAAAGCTTTCCTGGATTTGGCCAGGATCTCGGCAAGAGCTCACAGGGGAGGTAGGGTGAACTAGTCAGGCTGCACAAGAAAGTCTGCATTGCCATTACTTGCCTGTGTTTATCTATACATCCTATAATAACCAGACAGCCCTAAGACTGAAGCCTTATATTTGGTCCCATCTTGCAACTTTCATGAGCACTAAGTTAATGTGTCAAAACAGCAAGGAAGGAATATAACTGAATGTGCCTCCTGGCAAATTTAGGATGATAAAAGGCTTACAGTTGAGAGAAGGCTTTCCATTTATTTTCTAACATTATTTTAATATTGGTAATGGAAATCGCTTAATTTGAATGTTGTTAGAGGTGATAAATGCAGCCCCACTCTGTTTTAAAAATGGTTTGAGAAGGAACTTGACTGTTTAATATTTAAGCCAGAGGTTTAATGTTTTAAACAGTAAAGTTGTTCTGATTGTCAAAAAGGGCATTAAAATGGAATGGAAACGGGTTTCTAATCTCCGACAGCCATAAATGATGGCCTTTTTTCCAGCAACAGCATGGTGCCTCCAAGCTGCGGGAGATTCTGAAATGCCAAGTTTAATCAAACACTTTTATTTCAAATGCCATTTACACTTCCCACAGTAGTGAGAAGTGCTTTTCACCATGGGAAGTTTTGGAACACTGTGCTGGACAGTGTTAAATGATTTGGGGCAGATTCTGCTGAATGATACTATCACTTTAACATGAAAATAAAATGGAAAATGAATGTATTTGGAAAAGGAACAAGAAAGCAATGGAGCAGGTTCTGTGCCACTCATTAGGCACATAAGTGGACTTAAGCACCCAGATGAAATTTTATTCCTGCTTGAGTCTATGAAAAACAGTTAATAAAAGGGTGGGTGGGGTCCACTTCTTTCTGCTTTTTAGCAGCTGTCTGGATAATGGTGCCTTATAAAGTAGATAGGTTAATGGGTTTTCAGGAACTTGAATATGGTGGAATAGAATTGTACTCTGGTACTTACTTCCACTTAGATGCCTAATAGATGAAATAGAACGTGGACCAATATGTCTAATAATAAACAGAACCAACAGCTTTTTATCCTGTATGTTATTGGCATCTTCACCTTGCTTTGCGTCACTTCTTAAATGTGCATTAAAGTTATATATGGCTGAAAAACTCAGAAGTCACTTTCATGTCAACACATACATGAATGGTTTGTTTCCCCTAAATATACAAGAGTGTTTGAATAGGTATGGAGAATGCATGTGAGTGAGTGAAATATGCAGGTCCTGAGGAAACATATAGGAGCTCAAGCATACTCTAAGCTAGAGGTTTTCAGCCTTTTTTTCATTTGTGGACTCCAACAAAATTTCAAAAGGAGGTGTGGACTCCTTTGGAAATTTTGAATGGCTGAAGCACAAACCCCTTTGAATTCTAAGTGTGGGTATTCACATACTTCTGATTGATCATAGTTATCTTTCACAGGCCTCTTAGACAGCCTGTGAACCCCCAGGGGTCTGTGGACCACAGATTGAAAACCACTGCTCTGAGCTATGTCTAACTGCAAGAACCCACAAGCAGCCATTGTGGCAGTTGGGAATTGCCACTGAACACCCATGTTCTTTTCCCTAGTCCTTATTCCTGACATGTCTTCTATATATATCAATGGCTCTGAGGCAAGATGACACAGGCCACCGCTGCACTGCTGGAGGATTCCTAATGCGTGGAAGCCTGAGCTGGCCACTGTTGGAATTGTGCAAAGGAAACTCAATGAGGTGGGCTAGTTATTTGCTTGGCAAATAATGTTGGCCATTGTTTTTCCTCCTTCAAACTATGCCAAATTGAATTAAGAAAGGTTCCATTGAAAAATCTTTTTTTTTTTTTTATATGGAGAGACCACTACAAACTCCTTTTGCGTAAAGGGAGTTTTTAATACATTGCACCCAAGTATATTAAAAACCCAGTGTTTCCTTCTGCTAGTATGCTGTCCTCTCCACACAGTTCATTCCAAGTGTGTGCGTTTAAGTGCAAAATAAAGGAAGAAGCTGAAGATGGAAACTTTCTAGATATTTTCATAAACAATATACTGAAAAAACTGGTGTCACCACATTATGCTTTTAAACAATATTCAAGTAGCTTGGAAGCTGCCTAGTTACAATAGTACCTTTTAATTGGGTTTAACCATGACAGTGGTGATCAAAGGCGATTCTTGTGCTGCCAACCGGAGGTCTTTGGTGGAAAGGGTCTGATGGTAAGCTGTTCTTAGGGAGACTTCCTTAGCTTTTGGAGTAGGGTCCTGATCATTTGTTTACTCCAGTATTCACCTATTCAGCAAAACTCTTTCTGGGACCACGCAGGTATGAATGGGTGTGTGCATGGGGAGAAAAGATGACACGTTGGACGTAGCATTGATGGTGCTAAGTCCGATTCTTAGGACTGATTAGATGCATTTTCACCATGGTCTGTTTTTACTGTGGAATGGTACTAGAGCTTTAAAATTGTGCAAGGGGACAAAGAGACAAGTCAGTCACTTTCAGAAAATGTAAACTGATGCAAGTGAAAGAATCTGAAGAAAAGTTTACAAAATAGATCCTTTAATCAAGATTTAAGGACTCTTTAAAGGCATATTTCACTCAGGTTGAATCACAATGGAATTCTAGGACAAACATACTGAACAAAAGGGATGACTAATAATGGCACATTTTGAAACATATACACTCTTTCTTCCATTCATAATAACGTGATTAGTTGATTCATATCATTCCATCCTCCTATACAAATATTTGTGGAGAACCTGGCAACATGAAACACAACCGAAGACCTGTAGAAAATTCATCAAGTTGTACACACCTAATTTATTTATCGATGGATGCATTCTTGATTCTCTTAGCTCCTCATTTACCATGAGAGAACTGCAGAAGACAGCACAGAGGTTTTTGTCTCTCCTGGTGTTAAGAGGACAAAGCCTTTTGATTTGGATTTGCCAAGAGATGCTGCTTTACATTCACGTAGGGCCTACAGCTCATCTTGTTGATCACAGGATCATGGGAAAGTAGAGCTAGAAAAGACCTCATGAGGTCTAGTGCAGCTTCTTGCTCATGGCAGGATCATTCCCAATTAAACCATCCCAGCCAAATGTCTGTCCAGCTTGCTTCTGCAAATTGCCGAGAATGGACATTTCTACAGGGAATACTACTTCTCTAGGGAGCCCATTCCAATGCTTGACCACCCACATAGTCAGAAAGTTCCTCCCAATCTCCAATCTAAACTTCCTCTGCTGCCATCTGAGGCTTTTGCTCCTATTCCTGTCCTCTATGACCACAGAGAAAATTCAGTCCCTATTCTCTATAGTTGCCCTTCACATATTTGATGACTGCAATCAAATACCCCCTCAGTTTTCTGTTCTGCAGATAAAATAACCATGACAACCATGGTGCTTTTCAGCCTTTGGTGCATTTGGCAAAAGTCTCATTGGCTTCTCTAGTGCAGGATGAGGCTTTTAATACATTTAAACTATTCTGTCTAAATTAACACACTGAAAGCTATTCCATTTTGAAAAGCAACAATATATTTGTAAGGTTCCAAGAGCAAAGAGGATACAAGTGTCTTGGGTATACGAGAGAGACAGATGCATCCAATTACTGTAATTTCCAAGGCAGTATTTGAAATCTCAAATGTATTTCCTTTTATTAAAAAAAAAAAGTTTGTACAGAGTTCAAGTAAAAGGAGGGACAGCAAATTAAAGGGGGAGACAAGCGTCTGATGTTCTGAAAAAACACATTTAGTATCTATGGTAAGTTAGGTGGTCTTTCACATTTCTAATTGTTTTATCAGTTTTAATAGCAAATGGCACGGCAAGAACAAGTGCTTTTGGTACAGAAGGTAACAGAAATCCAATATTTGGGAGTGTTCCAAAGCAAATGACCAAGACATTTCTGTGTTGGGCAAGATGCTTGACCATTTGTTCAGTAACATTCACGGTCATAATAAAGTTGACTTGTCTTTTTTTTCCCTGTTGCACTGAGCTGGAGGAGACTTGATTTTTAAATCCTGATGACAATTCTAAATGGAAATGGGATCTTTGTATTTTAGAGCAACAGGAATATTCCAGAACAGCCCTCTAATTTACTGAGCTGCTACAGAGAGGTGGGTTAAAAAAAGTATGGATTTATTAATGATGTGTTAAAAAAAATAAAATACCAAATGGAGATAAATGTATTATCCAAAGGTATTTTGCAGTTTGCAGAGTCTCTTCTCTGGATTTTCCCCTAGAGACGTTAGTAAATATGCACCACTTATTACAGATTGTCAATCAAGACAAATTAATGCGGAAGGAAAATGAAAACTCCCCATCTTTCACCACAATTGTTCTATTTAGATTTACTAATCCTGCTTTAAATCGACTGTGTTAATTAAAGTACTTAGCAGACCGTCTGAAGAGAAATGTCCTTTGCCCCTTCATGTGACTTCTTTCCATATCTAACTCATACTGTGGAGGAAAAACAGCAAGTGTACAGCTTCACGTGGGTAGTTTCTTCAGTTTCGAAATAGCAGCCCCTTTTTGTAAGCAAACAGCCCAAGAGCAGCCATGGGTGTGAAAACTCCAACTAGCATCAGTAGTCCTGGTAGAGATGGCAGGTTCCTCTCCCAAAAGGTAGTAGTGATTGGCAGGGCTGGGACATCCTGAGTGGGAAAAGAGTCATATTAGAGAAGAATCATTATACAGGGTCTTCATAAAGTCCTTGTGCACTTTTAAACTTTAATAACTTACATTGTGCACAAGGACTTTATGAAGACCCTGTATATTTATTATATATTATGTACCCCATTATACACATGGGAGAAGAGTCAATATATTACTCAAACTTGATCATGTCTATACTGCTTCTTTGCTGAGCTCAGGACTGATGTTCAGAAACAAACCCGGTCTCCTTGTTCCTGTGTTGTGCACACCTAAACCTGCCAACTAGGCTGAGTAAATATCTCGACTGTACTCAGTTTTGCTCTCAGGCTCTCCTGAGGTGTCAATGCTGCTGGATTGTTGGATCTGGGCATGCACGGAGCTGGAATGTGTGGGAGGGGCTCACTTCTCGGTGGGATTTCCTGTGGGCTTGGCAGGGATGCAGTATAGTCCTGACCTTTTTTTCTTTTATGGTTAGAATCCTACAGCCCTTTTCCTCTTGTAACATGGGGTTACACAGTATGCAAAATGCTGCAAAAGGCTGAGGAACTGGGGATAACCAGTTGTGGAAGGAGAGAGGGAATACAGTCTGGGATTCTGTAGGACTTGGTTCATTTCTTGGCTTTTTCATGACTTCCAGAATGAGTTCAGGTTGTGAAATCATTCTCCCTGGATGCATCTACATGTTCACTAATGTGCAGTAGTTCTGCGCATTTAGTTTAGTCCTTCCTTAATGAAATAGTAGCTAAATGTGCAGAAATTAGAGTTGCTGCACAGTAGTGCTGGCACATTTTTTTTGTGACAGTTGCTGCACAGTAGCCTAATAACACTGCGCAGTAGCTTATTAGCACGATTTCTGACCAGCCTGCTACTGCACAGTTTTACTAGGATACCGCGCAGTAAACATCTCGTGCAGATGTGTCCAAGGCTCTATGTTTTATTTCTCAGTCTACCCAAGAAGGATGACAATACTTCACAGGAGAGTTATAAAGATGAATGTGTTCACAATGTTTGGTCATAGAAGTTCACTGATATATTGGTTGCATATCATATTGGCACCGATAACAGGAAAAGTAACATTATCAGCAATCAGCTTTTTTTGGCCGATAATGTCATTGATAAATGCTGTGTGCATGCACGCAGCCACGGCATGCACACGGCCAGGAATGTAGCCCGGCAGCTTGGAGATTAGTGTCCTGCCCATAGGTCTGTGAGGGGCAAGGGGCATTGCGGGGGCAGATAGAGGCCCCCGCGGTAAGGGAGGGAGTGGGGCAGGGGCAGGCAATGCCCAGCCAGGGTGGTGATTGTGACCTCAGGACCAAGAGTGGGATGGATCTGAGGGGCAGCTCGTCCAGGGGGCACTGTGCAGGGTGCATGGCAGCGGTGGTGGCCCTGGAAGGAGTGGCCATGGGGTGGGGCTATGGGGAATTTGGGGTGGCCATAGACCCCCAAGGCTCCCTGCAGTGCCACCCCTGCTTGGGGCATGAGGGCTCCTGAGGGAAAGGCAGCAGGGGTGATGCTAGTGAGGGTTTGGGAAGCTATGGCCACCCCAAAATTCCTCGTAACCCCCCACATAGTAATACCTCCCAGGGCCATTGCCACCACGTGCAGCTGAGCCCAACCCACTCCTGCCTGCCCTGAGTGCAGCCCCAGTCCAGACACTCAGCTAGGAAGAAGCTGGTGCAGCCCATGGCCCCGAGCCCACAGTGGGCAGCCCACCCTTGCCCCACGCACAAATCCTGGGGGGCACATGCCCCCCATGCCTCCCTCAGGGGTGCACACAGCAGTGGGGAGTCACCCCCG